CCTCCGACCGTCCTTGCCACCCGACCTTCCCTCACCGCCCCCACGTGACACACGCCGGTCAACCACGTGACTCTGACCGACCGCGACGATCTTCGTTCGGTGCGCGGAACGTCAACGTCCGTCGCCCTAAGGGCCCTGGCCGCTTCCTCTAGCCGTGAAGCATTCCCGATCGGCTGGTTGCGTAACCTGGGACCGACTAGCGGTATCGACGAGCGGAAAGGACTGCGTTTGAGCTTCGAGCGGAGAGGACGAAAAGGAAGACACGCGGTACCGTTGATGACTGGAGAATCTAGCCGACGACTGAGTTCGAAGGAACTTTTGGATGAAGAAAATAGAATTGATGAAGAAATTGGATGTTGTCGATTGAGAACATAGCAACGGATTGAGGAACGTTCGGTGAACGTGTGGATCATACCGTAGGACAGCGAGCTTCGAAAAACGCTTGAAAGAAAAGAAGATACAGTGACAGTTTATAAGTTTCTTGCTTTTTGGTTTGTTTCTTTCTTCTTCTTCGAAAGACTGATCAATCGCACATAGAATGCGATCGATGAAAGAGACGTCGACAACGGTGCCCCGGGTCGCCAGCGATTCCACCAGTCGTCGGAAAATGAAGTACTACGACTCGCGTCTCGTCACGTTGATAGGCAGTGTGCGCGAGCGACCGATCGGCGCAGTCTCGTTACCGATCGCCGTCCGGGACTCGATTTCGCGGTGAAATCAGGCCGAGCAGCAGAGAGCAGCGGTCGAGCTGAATGTGAGAACGGTAGCCGACGAACAAGCGCGTACGTAGGTACGCGAGGTACGAACGGGCACTTGCCACGTGACTGTTCGCAACCGGCTGGGCTTTTTGCGTCGGCTCCCGGCCTCCCCTGGTTAACGTCCAGCCTCTGCCGAGCCGCAGCCGCGGCGATCCCGATCGATCCGGCCTGGCATCGAGATTCCTCGCGCGTCCCGAGAGTGTTTCTGAACTGTTAACCGACATTTGCTCCCCCTCCCGCTGGATCGTCGCCGATCTCGAGCGACACGGTGGATCACGGAGGATTGCGTCACTGCGAAGATTGCGCGGTGATTTTAATGGTACGCGTCACGCGATTACGTTCACAGGTTCGAGCGTTATTTCTTTGGAACGGCGGATGGACCGGGTTGGGCCCAGAGAGGCGGTCGTGACGCGACGAAACAACGCTGATCACGTCGTTCAGCGCGAGTTACGGCGATCCGTGTAATTTGGCGCGATTTAATTACACCCAGGTGGAAGCTGGTGTTATTAAGCCCGGCGCGCTGGGTGCAGCCGCCGAGAGAATTCAGGCTTCCCGCGTCATCGATCAGCGCCGCCGCCACCACTGCCCGGAGACTTCAATGCCCGCACAGACGCACTGCGTCGGGATCGTTTTACCGCATTCCTTTCGATAAACGAACGCTAAGGGAACGGATAAACAAAAGATCGTCTCAATCGATTAAACCGCGGTTCAAAGAAAATTTGGACTTTGGTGGATCGAGGATCCAACGAACGCTGAACCGCGTTCGCGCGAACGCTAAGTGCTGAGTCTACGATCGAGCAACACGGCTCACACGAAGGCGGCGCATCCTCCACGTGCACCGGCTTGCTACCAACGTAACACTTAGTGTTTCTCAAACGACTCGTTAACTCGGTCGAGGTACAACCTGAAAGCATCATCCCTTGCGCCAATCATCCGGCGAGCCGAGGAAGATTCTACCTGAACTACACGTGTGCTCTGTCGACAGGTGTTAGACGTTCTTACAGTTCATTCGTACGAGGAGGAGGTAGTGATCGTTCGGGAAATTGGATGTATTCAGGTGGCACTTGTTCGACGATTTAGAGGACGATTATCGGGGACAGGTGATTTATCTGTCTATTGTTCTCTGTCCGGTGCGGTGCCGGGAGGGAACGAACCTTGAGGAGTCTTTGAGGGTATCGGTTGCACGGTGATGGTAGGTAGCGTTTGACGAATGAACGGGATTCTTACGAAATTACTGTGAGAAGGAGACAAGAGGATCGTATCGGGAGAAAGTGATCGATGAAGTGTGTAATAAGTTTCTTGGGTCAAGATCGAAAAACTGTATTGTCGATGGAAAAAACAAGGAATTGAACTAGCCGTTAGGAAGACTCTATGAACCTCTATTCGTACTCACTTGAACATCAGAGGTGTGTCGCCACCTTTGGGCAGCCGATACGAATTCTGGTGATCGTGACCGAAGCAGCAGCATCTACGCCGGCAAAAGTGGCTCATCATGTCCGTGCTCGAGGCCGGTGAAGCTGACAGAGCCGCGATGTCTCCTCTCGACGAAGTCGTGTCCCCGACGAGCGTCGAGTCGGAACTGATGGTCACCGACATGTTGGACGAGCACGAGACCACGCTGAACGAGCACAGGGACGGCAAGCGCAAGAGAGACACGGACGGCGAGGAGCTCACGCCCAGGAAGCTGCCGTCACTGACGAGGAACAACAACGATGTCGGGTTCGTTTTGGAGGAGAGCGCCGATGACGATCTCCATGAGGATAGAGATGACGTAAGTCCGACTGGATTACTTTTTTTTCTAATTCTATGGAATTTTAATTTCACCGTCTTTCTAGTTTTATCGTATCGACATTGAGTATAAATCACTGGGGGATTGATTATTTCAAAGAATATGTAAAATGTGGCGTAGTCGTAAATATGTAAAGAAATCTTAACAGAAAATTTGATTCTTTGTAAGATAATGTTACCGTTAGAAAGTTGAAGATATTGTTATTATTATATATTGTAGTTTATTAAACTAAAAAAAAGAATTTATATATAGTATACACGGGAACTATAAATTTACTTTTACAAGATTATTTATTTTTCTAGTGGAATGTTCTTAACAATAAAGTTACTTTAACGAGTCCAATCAGAAAACTCGTAAAGCAAAGGGTTAGTTTCAAGCCTCTCGCGTCTATCCCCGCCGCTGTTCTCTTTCGAAGCGACAGTTAAGCAACCCTAACGATAATTTAACAACCCCGGGCGAGACATTCGTTCCGCCACGTTATTCCCATTCGCTTCCCGGTGCAATTCGAATGATGCGAAAGTTGAATATCGAATGCCACGGCGAAACCTGAGAAGCCACCACCGGCGTGGCAACGTTTCAGTGACATTTATCCTCTTTTAAAGCGTACTCCATAACCCTTCTTCGGCGGACGGGTCTCAAACTACATTGCGTAGAAACTAAATTCTCACGTGGCAAGTGAAAGAGCAGCTGTCGGTTGAAGTGTCCGCCCACGCGCGGTCGTACGGCGTTCCGTTGTGTCCTGAACGTATAAGACACCGACACCACGGCAACAAATCAGGTGCTGTTCGATTCAGGACTCTAATAAAACGAAGCTATTAGCGCGTCACCTTTAAGGCCCAGGAAGCCCTACATGCGGGCCTCTCCTTATTCAGTCACCGTCGTTCGCCTTGATTTCGACGATCCCAACCGCACGATCCTACACGGATAGAGATCTTCATAGAAATCTTGTTTTTAGAACGTCCAACGACCGACAATTGCGGTTGCTCCTTTCATTCGAACAAACATTTAACCCTTTTTGTCAGAAAAGATTTTAAGTATGAACGAAATATTTCTTCTACTAAATATTATCGATTGTAGACTGAGAAAGTGTGATCGACCACTTTCTGTTTCTAAACATTTTACTTTAATATTGTCTATTTTTTCGAGACAAAAATATTAATTCTTGCTCCACGAATATCGTATTTATTGAATATTCTCAGTGTTTCTTTCCTTAGTCTCTATCAGCTAATTCCCAAACAATCGTTTGTTATTGCGTCGCTATGTACTTGTTTTCATATTCAATCGTTGCACTATCGTCGTGCTTACTAACTACCATCGATCATTAAACTAGTGCAATAAAAGCCAAATTACTTTGTTCCGCCTTCTTTGTCTTTACACATTTTATTCGGTAGTAGTTCAAAGTTACGTACTTTGATTACTACTGATAACAACTTGTTACCATTGTGATATATCGAAAGTGTTTCAGAGATGAAATTTGAAATCTTCCTATTCCAATGTCTTTTTATTTCTTACCTAAATTTTTCGAAACTATATCAAGATACGTCGGGTTAGTAATTTACTGGTTCGAAGCTACAAGCTTCTAATCTTGGCCGTAAAACAAATACGGAACTTTGCTTCCGAAGCGTCCATTAAATGCTTCAACCGGCGCAACAACGCCTAAGGAAAATTCGAAACAGTAATCTCCTCTGCAGTGTGTACCGGTGCTGACTGTAGTCACTCATAACACGATAGAAACGAAAGAAG